AGGCAGCAAGCTTTGTGCTGATGATGTTCAGGATGCATCTCTTGCAGTTGGGTGGCAGGGGGGTTTATAAGCAGTTGTAGTGCCGACAATGCTCGGTAATACACATTGATGCTTCTGTTTGATGCAGTCCGCCGCAGGCCTTGCAGTTACGCCGTCAGGTTGCAAAGTGAGACTGGTGCCGACGATGCTCATGATGCCGGTCTTGTGGCTGTGGTTGGTCGGGCTTAAGCAAGGCTTGTGCAGCTGATGCGTGTGATGCCCCCTCGTGCCGAGCCGAAGGTGCAAGCTTTCCACATGTTTCGGAGGCGATCTGCTCCCCCAAGGGGACGCGAGCCGAGACGAGCGAGCCGGCATGGCCCAGACACTCGGCTGCTAAGTTGGCGCGACACCGAGGTTTGGGCCTTCGGAGGGTTCAGGGTGTTGGTGAGGGTGGCAGGTGTAGCATCTGGGGTTTGGCTTCAGAGTTGTGATTCAGGGACGGGGGTTGGGTGATCGTGGGGAAGGGCTTTCCGAGGTCTGTCTATCGTTGGCTGGAAGTGTGTTTGCGAAGGCCTCACAAGATCTACGGCTGGATTTCAGTATGGATGCAGTGCAGTGCCTATCGACGTTGGCTGTGGACTTGCATAGGGACAGAAGCCCGTGGTTCTGTCTGTTTTGCAGTGGGACCCCGACTGCCCGAAGGCCTGTTTTTGCGAACTGAAAGTCTCGCATGTATGGAAGCGATGTAAAGTGTCGAATGTGCTTCAGCCTGTGTACAGAGACTGAATTACCGCTTCAATCAATCTCCGTAGACGACAAGAAAGGACCCCTGTTGGGCCTCAGCCCTGAGCCCCCAATCCAACACGCAAGCCCAGGACTGTGGTGCGGCTTATGGGTTTACTCCTTCTTGCGAAGTCGCTTTGGCCGAACTCAATGCTCCAGAGTTTCGGGCTCACAGGTTTGCTGACAATTTGCGGCAGTTCATGTCCTCAATGCCCTCCTGCTGCGCTTCCCTGCGTTTCTTTTGCTCTTTTTAGGCCTCAGTGCCGTAACCCTAAACAGTGAAACCTCCATGGTGAGTTCCCCTGAAACCTCACAGCCAGAAGCCTCTGCGCCTGTACCTGTCACCTTGAACTCGGCGCCATTTCAGCCCATTTCAGGCTCCTTGGGAGCCAAAGCGGCAAGTCGGCTGTTGGCTGGGGTGCCGCATTCTTCGTGCACTGTTCGATTGCCTATGTCTCGTATTACCGGTCCCAGACATCCCGGAAGCTGAAGTGATGACAGTCGCGCGCTGTGGAGCATGCCGGGATGTGGACTTTAGACTTTTCTGGGCGGCTCGAGTAGAGCACCTAGGCTGAGATGCCTGTGACTCGAGCCAGGCTCAAAGATGCATTTTTTCGCGGCCTGCGCGCCGACCCAGTGTCGGAGGCAAGCAAAAACACCTGACCGCAGGCTGTATATTCCCAGAACCTACGTCGCTATGTGCCAAGACTTTCAGTGTACATATTCACGGCACCAAGCCTTCACGGCAGACCGAAGTGAAGCGGGAAAAGCTGGGCCGCGAGAAGCTCATACGAAGTCCTGAATTCGAAAGCTGTTTGGGTGGTGGAAGGGGCGGGGGTTGCGGATGGGGTGACAAATTATAGCCGAAATATCAAAATCCCACCTGTGGGCCGCCAACTGAACAGGAGATAGCTGATGAGCGATTTTCTTTTTGGATGCGCGGTAGCAGGCTACAGGCGGTCTTGGCCTGTTTCTGTGGAAGGCCCCTCGGGTTGCAGTGTTGAGAAATCCCATGTGATGCAGGCCAAGAAGAAGGAGAAGGCGTGCCGGCCGGGTTGCGGGCACGTGGCTTCCCGTGTCGGGTCGAGGTTTCTGACTTTCGGGGACGCCAGATGTTGTGGACAATCAGAATTGCGAGACAACAAAGTCTTTCGAATCCTTAGAACGAAGATTCCCTGGCCAGAGAACACTAAGCGCGGCCGGCCCTGATTCCGGCAGCCTTGAGCGAAACAGCGGGGGACCCTGAGCTAAGCCTCCAAGATCTCTGCAAGGCCAACGACGCCGCTATCGCGAATCTGGGCTTAGTCCCTAGCATGGGCGCGATTTGTCAAAGAAGTCGCTAGGATCAGCAGCCGGGGCCTAGAGTTGTGTCATCCCGTGTCTGTGACTCATCCCACGATATTTCTTCTCAACTCAAGCCTGAAAAGACAGTCGAGCAATCCATGCACCGGAACAGTACTCTCTGACCCGGCGCCCGAAACCGTTTGTCGCAACATGAAGCATTAGATAGTGAGAGGTCAATATCGACTGACGCCGGAATGTGTGACCTCCGAACAAGACTCGTTTCTTCTGACTCAGGTGCCAACGAGTGCCGGATAGAGACCATCTCCAGGACTTTCCTGATGCCTATATTTGTTGCTGTTGTCGTGGGCAGGTTTTTTCCTGACACCATCTGCTCAACCACTGCGGGGATTGCACAGCATGCCAATCATGGTATTTGATGTTAGGGTCTTCATGCGGAGTCCTGGCTATTCCATCCCTTGATGGGTACGAGTGTTAGATCCCTTCTAGATTCTAGTCTGTATCCCCGCCGGCTCATGACCCGCAAAATTCGAGTAGGGGTTTAGCAGCTCGTTTGGACTTCGGTGTTCTCAAGTTGCCGGTTCGGTGATGGGTGCGGAAGCCTAGTCCGTCGAGGCTGGCAGAGGCATGAGTCATTCTTCTGCATACTCTTCATTCCCCAAACTTGTGAATCCGATTAGCCGGCTATGTATCTGTTGCTTTTCCAGTTTCGTTTTTCATGAATCACTAGACCATATCAAAGAGCGACAGGAAGACGGACCCAGTCAATGCAACACTCCATTGTGGATTGCCTAGATGTCTAAGTGAAAGGCTCCTGCGTCTAACCAGGCCTCGTCCTCAGACGCTTTGCGGAGGATCCACCACTTCGCCCACGGGCCTGGCTATAGGCTCCAGGTGCACGAGGGGGTTGCGGTTGCAGAGAGATATTCAGCGGGTCGGTTCTTCTACAAGGATAGCTGCTCTCACGTTTACCCGTGGTTCGTCAAATAAACTTGTAACGCGAAGCTTGCCAAGTGAACAGTGTGGAGGGACCTCGCACCCAAACCGCTATTAAAGGTAACAGGTGCGAGCACAGACTGTTTTACTGAGTGGCTTATTCTGTCGAGGTGGCAGAGGGCATGGTGGCGCATCTAGGCTGCAGTTGGTGACCTTCAACTTGGGGCCTCGAAACATCTGAGTTCCACTTGCAGAGGTCAGAGAGTTGTTGTGTTTGGCACTGCAGACAAGGGTGCACTCATTTTCTTTTGGCTCTGACGGCAACTCTGAAGCCACAGATCCTCGTCCAACTTTGCACCTTCAATGGGCATTGGGCTACGCAGTTATGTCCTTTGCACAAGTGGCGATTGAACTTCTCACCAAACCACTAAGCCCGAAACCGGACCCTAGTCTGTCACCGACTAAACCGAAACCCCACGTTCTACACCCAAAGCCATGAGCGTCGCAGCAACCACGGACCCTGAACTGAAGCCAACGCAGTACTCAAACCAAGCTGTTTATGCGAGTTCTCTAGACCCACAGAAAAAAGCTGCCCGAAGTTGTGATCGCAACCGGTGTCCCTACTGGAAGAGCTAGGGGCGGCGGCCGGGTGCAGCAAGCGACCATCCGTAACTGCAATCCCCGCAAGTTCAATTCTCAAGCTGAAGCCCAAGCCTTTGTCCCGCTTGCTCCCAGGCAGCGCCTGAACCTCTTCACGAATCGCAGGGAGATCGCTCTCAAGGATTGGATTGCGAGCGGGGGAGTGCTTTGGCCATCAGGTCCCCGGACTACCCTGAAGCCCGAGGTGCGTGTCCGGTTACCCGGGTTTTTAGAGCAGTTGCGTGTTTACAGTGTGCATGCACGCGCTAATCTCCTCTGACCTAGACTCCGGCTCAATTCCTAGACTCAACCAGTGATCCCAAAAACACCAGCACCAACTGCACAGAGCGATGGACCTCATAGATACCAGCGCGAAACCCCCATGTTGATAGTATGACAACACATGACTACAGCCGTGCACGCAACTGCTAGTGATTGGGGGGCGGGGGAAGAGAGAGGGCCTCGGGCAAGGACTGGCTCTCCGGTGTGCTGGGCGCCTTGGAAAGCCGCGACCCCGGTGCTCGCGCGGCTTTAAACTGCAACATGTAGCATGCCTTACCGCCTTGCCGTTGTCCTTGTAGAGTGAGAGCCCTGTCTGAAAGACAGCAACTCGAGCACTGCTTTCTTGGGCGTCTTCGCTTTGCATCTTTGGATCAAAGCAGCGGCCGAGAACGCCGACACTTGCCTGAGAAGGCAATTTCAAGACTGGTCATGGGCCTTCCTTGCCTGCTTTCGGATGAAACACTGGGATCGGAACACCTGCCGGCATGGCTCCACGAGAGCACATTCCTTACATGGTTGTACTTTCCCGAAGCCTTGCAGTCAGTCTTGCCCCATAGGCACACGCATACAGGCAGGTGCAAGTTGTCGAGGGCATGGGTCGTCCACGACTAAGACTGAAATCAGGCGGCTTCGCCCGGAATACTGATTCCTGACTGAGGTACGGGCACGCACATCATGCTCCTGAAACGCTCGTCCGGCAACGGTGAGGCGCCGCGGGACTACTCATTCGTCGCAGCTCGACTTTTCTGCCCTGTCATCAGCAAGGGTTTCTCTGGGCGTTGAGTGTCACAGTAGACTTCTGACGGCCCAAACCTTGCTGGGGTTCCCGACACGGACCGGCCTACAACTCGTTCCATGAACGGAACGCCCTGCGACAGCCGGCACCAATTTGCAAAGCAGATACCGATACCGATCTTCGGATAACGTGGCCATGTTATCGGTGGCGTCAAACAGACTTGGGGCAGATGTGCAGATATCACTCGCCGGCTCTATGAGTGCAGGCCTGCCTGCGGCCTGACTTGCAGGTGACGGGGGGAGTTATCACCGGCGAGAAGACGGAGGGCGGTGATGGCCAGAAGGAGGGCAAGGCATCCAGCCATGGCTTGCAGTTGGGAGTTGCAGTGGGATTCCGGCAGATGGCTTTGTTTTTGTATGCAAGATTCGGATGACTTTCCTTTTGCTGTTGAGGGCGGTGTTGTTGCTTCAAATTTCGGTCTCAGAGCTTGGAAGATGAGTTGAATTTGGATTTGATGATGCTTGAAGTCGACAGAATTTCAACCACCGTTGTCGTACTTTGCTCGGCCATGTCGCGCACACATTCCACCGCTGAAGTCGTAATTGTGTCTCTGCAAGGGGTTACCAAGTTCAGATTGTTTTGAACCCCACCCTGAGCCGCAACGGTCGGCTTGTTTGCAAGGCCACCGGGGAGATGAAGATTCAGCTCCGGCGCGACAAAGCGCAGCAGGCAGTCTGATGGGCTTAAAGGCACACACACACAGACTCAACACCAGAAAGAGGGACTTTGCTTCTGAGTGTCCTGATAGTACCTAGCAACATTACTGGGGATCTCGCAGGCCGAACAATTCGTGGTGCCTTCTGGCACGGCAGTCTGGAAGACGAGCACTGGTGCTGAAAATAAGCAAAACGCAGGTGGTTGGAGATTCTACCCTTCCAGGTCCTCTCCCCAAGCAACGGACAACGCAAATTCTTAGAGCCGCGAGTGGAATCCCAAACCGCCAAGCCTTGATCATTACCGCTTATCGCCACAGGCTGAGAACGACTGGCTTCAGTCCCTGCTCGGTGGCGAGGTGGGGACCTGCGGCCTGCTGTCAGGGCCCTTCAGCGATGAAAGGTTTAGTCCCGAGAAGGCTTCTTTGGCTGTTTGTTTGCCACCTACAAGTACCGAACTTTGGCTTTCGTCGGGAGAAGGTCATCCCCGATCTGACTCTCGAAAGCCCAAAGAAGCACCAAATCCGAGACACTGCGCCCAACCTTTCCCACACCACACCGAGCTGTGCAGGAGGAGAAGGAGCCAGAGCCGCCGGCGCAGCCGGAGAAGGAGCCAGTTTGCTCCCGGGCTCCGGTGGATTTCATTGACGTGATCACGGTCCACATCAGGGGACTGTGTCCGGGATGTGCGCCCAACCCCACTGGTCGCAGATTGGTCTCAGCTGGTTAAGTCGGAGGAAGACTCGGCTATTTCCTTTCTGCTCAACAAAAACCTTAATACAACTTCAGAGTGACGTTCAGCCTCAAGCCTGCACTACCTTTTGATGTTTTTCTGGCCGCAAGGCCGTACAAGCCCCTGCGGAGCCGATAGCGAGGCCGGTTCTTGGAGGGTTTTCCTGGGATGCTTCGAGGTATTGACAAAAAGCTTCTAGAGGCATACAGCTTGTAGCATGGTTTCAGGCTTCGCAGTTTGAAGGGGTTCTTTTGTTTCGAAGCGCTGAGGTTTTAAGGGTTGTGGCTGAATGGAACCCACCCGAGGCCCTAAGGTTTATCCTCGCAAGGCCCGCGAGCGCACCGGTTCCGCAGCAACCACCTGAACTGCCAAGGGCTCAGTCGGTTCAGGTCTGCGCTTCTGGGGTCTTTAGACTTTAGACTTTAGGGTTTACAAGATAGGTGCAGCCAGGGCTTCGGATGTGAGTTGTTTTGAGTTTTTTTTGGGTTTAGGTATGGAGCCCGGTGATCTTGATATTGCCATGTGCACGAGTGTAGACGACCATGCAATTGCTGCGTATGCAACAGCTTGAAGGAATAGGATCTGTACGAGAGGCCAGCGAGAGTGTTTTGAATTGGGCAGTATGTCTGCTGGTCGGCCTATGCTCTGCGGCCTCTCTCTCTCTCTCTCTCTCTCTCTCTCTCTCTCTCTCTCTGTGTAAGCGTCTGTCTGAGCCGCGGCGTGGCACCGAAGGGACCGCGAAGATTCTGGTCTTCGGGGCCCGCTTGGGGTTGCAGGAGACTAACTCTGCTCCACCTGCCACAGGCCGCGGACGGAGGCAACATCGTCCAGGACACGTTGCATCGGCATGGGCTTGCGGATGGTTTGGCTCTTGGGGCCCCAAGAACTGGAGAGAAGCCAAAAGCTCACAGCGGCCTTCCAACCTGCACGAGGAAGCAGTCGGGCGTGCCACCCGAAGCCACATCCGCCCACAAGAGTTTTTGGTGCAGAAGCAGTGATGTCCAACCAAGCAAGAGCTCGTAAGATCCTTTGGAAGCCGTATCGACCGCTTTGAACTTTCGAGCTATAGTACTGCCATCGGCATCGAAGGAGGCGAGGGGGCAACCACCGCGACTATGCCGAGGTTGGAGGGGTTGAGACTCGGGGTGCCCGGTTCAAAGCCCCAAGTGGCACACACAACTTATCGTAGGCCATCCCCAACTGCGTCCTCTGGCTTAAGCCCTCGCGAGCCCGAGCCACCGGGCTCACTGGCCAGGCGCCTCAGCAGAGGCGTGCGCAAGGAGCTGAGAAGCTTGCTCTACCAATGCCTCCACCTAATTCCAGAGCTGATTGACTGCCCTGCAGCTGCTGAAGCTGAGGTGAACGGTGCTAAAGATTGAAACCTGGATTCGAGTGTGCATTACAACCTAAGTTATGACGAGGTTGAAGATTATGGTCGGAGGATGGAATCCTGGATGAGAGGTTCCGGTTTGGCATGACACAGGAAGATGTCTCCTGCGCTTTGCGCATCTTTCTGCTCAGGGAGTACCTGCATCTGCAGTTGGAGCTTCGAGTGGGGTGCACCAACAGGCTGTGCTTATTAACTTATTGCCACGAACTCGACCTCTTGACTGTTGTAGTTCAAAATCCCGTGGCCACCCTAACATGAGCCGCTTCACGCAGACTAGGTAATAAGTAGTCGAAAGAACCACTATCAGCCACTATCGCCGACCGCATTTCCCCTTGCTTGGAGACATACCACTGTGCCCGAGGACAGCCTCGTGTAAGACTCGGATGGTGTATTGTCTTGTCCGGAGGCAGCCGCTGAACCATGTCCTGGGTCCTTGGCGATCAGAGTCCTTCTTCCAACCTATCCCATGCTCGTCTGTCCAAACGCTGGGGCTTTCCTTATGTTTGGTCATATCGACAAATCCACCTTGACAAACCGCAGATACAGAGATTATGCTTTCTAAGGGGATAAGTCGTGACCGCTAGGCCTCTAGCTGTGCGAGCTCCTTTTCTTGGGTTTCTGAGGTGGCTGCCGGGATCGAAGAACGCCTGGGCTCCTGCACGTTCCTCATTCTTCGGTGGTGTGTTTCGGCTTGAGGATTGAGGTGTTGGGAGTTTGGGGGTTGAGTGTTTCGGGAGGTTTTGTTTCGGGAATCTCTACAGTCCAGGTCTCAGGAGGTGACTGACTCACTTGTTATTGGAGCAACCGCCGAAGCGCCAGATTCTCTTGGTTGAGGCTGGCTTTGTGCCCGAAAGCTTAGACCTGACGCACAATCCAAACGCCCAGCATCCTGGGCTTACTTGCTCAAGCCCCATATGTCGAGTTACTCACCCTTCGACACCGTTCAGGTGCCCCAAGGTCCGAGTACCTTCGCTCTGAATTGCTGAAGCCTTCAATGCAGAACATGTTGCTGCGCGTCCAAGGCTGCGTCCGGAAATTACACGAATGGGTGGGAGGCCAGACACGCTGCAACTCAGGGTTCTTCTTGATTTAACCGATCAACAGGTCACCCTCAACGGGAACCGACATTGAGATGTTGCTGAAGCAGGGACAAGCCCAGAAATGATCTTTAATCCTCAAGTCAGTCAGGAGGGCGCCTGGCAGAACGGAGATGCCGGGCCCGGGCACTCGGTGGTGCTTGACAGAAAGCAGGTAGGTGTCGGTGCGGGTTCCGGCTAAGTTGCGACCTTAGGGCCCCTTGCCTCGGATCTTGCGGGCTGGCTTCGGGATATTGCAGAGTTAAGCGATGTCTCTAGGTTTCTGAAGCTGACAAGCCATGATGTTGTAAGAGGTCTGGCTTCAGGGTGACCAACAGGCTGGACCCACCTCAATTCGAGCTGCAGGTGTTGTCTTTTCCGAACTCGAACCCCTGCCGTCCCAAGGCCCGCACAATCGTCTTTACTTTCGGTAAGACCCCTTTCGTTCCGAGGTGGAGCGAGTGGAACGACTGGACCTGGTGGCAAGGAGAGCAGGCTCGGCAGATCACGCGGGATGTGAGAGAAACCCAGACCCAGACCTTTTGGAGCCAGGCGCCCATGCCGGCGCCTGCACCAGCGCGGAGGTGGAACAAGCAGGCCAAGGGCGGCGGAACGGGTCGAGGCACATCGGCGAGGAGACTTCGGAGTCAGGCTTCGAGCGAGCAAAGGACGGCTTCGGACAGAGAAAGCTCTGAGCTGGAAGGTTTAAACTGCTTGGGATCGCCGCAACTGCTCAGAGGCGCCGGCCTGCGACGAATGCCTACGGGCGGGGGGAGGCCTCATCAAGCTGTTCAAGGCACGGACTTGCATGAACGGATGCAGACGTCTTCTGAATGAATTCTATCCATTGAAGGGAAGCATTGCAGCCGCTTTGGGTGGTTTAGACGAAGAAGTTGAGTCGATGCTGGTACGGTCGTGCCAAAGCTTTAAAGCTGTGTCACAGGCGTGTACTGGTCTCAGGACTGGATAGCTTCCTTGTTCACAAACTCAAGCCAATTTGCAAGCTCAAGCCTTTTCTCTGGCCCGCAATTCGATGTCCCCATCCAGAAACTACTTGCATCATCGCCATGTTACAAGCTTCTGGGGAATGTACAATGAGCAGATGTGTTGAGATCATGGCCATGCAGCACGACCAGACCTTGAACGCGCAACACGATCCGTGAATGTCAGGGGTTGATCTGGATCTGTCTTTGAAGTCTTATGATCTACACATCCTGAAATCCTCTATGAACCTGATCTAGCCCAGAAGAAGTTCATGAAAAGCCCCAACCGCTCTAGACATCAGAGCCTAAACTCTGTGCTACATTCGCAACCTTGAGCTTTGTCTCCTGGGAGCCTAGGGGCCTAGACTTTGTAATTGCTAAATCTATATGGTTGGACCCGGCACCACACGAGATCGGCAGGATGGCGACGGGAAGTACTGTCGCCGCATGCCCAGCACTGCAAGTCCTTCCCCACACCATGGCAGGGCTACTTACTGGGTCTCTGCGTGAAGGGTGCAATTTGGGCTTCGCATCTGGATGCAAGCTGAAGCGATCCCCGCAAAGAGTTCTGCCTGGCGTTCAGGCGACGAGCTGTTGGATTAAACTCGGGTCCTTGAAGCCTAAAGTTGAAGCGGAAAGCCTTGCACTCAGCACCTGGAGACCTCAAGCCCTTGTTTGGTTCTAGCTTGAAACATTTAAGTTGCCCAATGTGAAGCCCCAAGCAGTCCGGGAGATTTTTGACCGAAAGAGGGCTCAAGACCCTGACATGGACTTAAGCCTTAACCGTTGCATGTCCACCGACGAGGGAGGTGCTGGGTTGACTTCTATCTCGAAGAGCCACCAGCGGACGCCGCCACCGCCCAAGATTTTTACTGTTCAAGGCCTGCTCACTTTCTGTGTTCCAGAGCAGTAGGAAAGGTGCTTGAGGGTCTCGAGCTCAGGGAGGTATATTTGGCTTCTAAGTTTTGTGGGTTAACAGTCAACAGATTCTGGTAGAGTTGAAGGGTCTTACAGTCCAACTGACCTCCAGCTTAAGGGGGGAGTCAGCGCTTTTGAATCTGAGCTTCGACGGGCTCAGAGTCGCAGTGTTTGTGTTTCTCCAACTTGCATGCCTGTGTGTGCTGCCGAGGCTGTGAGATGAGGAAGATGCGCATGTGTACATAGTATATTTTGCCTGCTTGCCAGGCTGTAGGATCCGAGAAAGAGCGCCCCAGCACGCATGCACCCTCTCATGCAAGTACAGCAACCGAGGGAAACGTCAACCAGCCGAACATGATATGACACGGTTTAGTGGGTTACAGGTTATACAAAGTATATAAGTAATGTCGTGCGAAGACAGAGCATTTCTTGAACCACACCGTAGTGCAGCAGCATGAATGCAAACTCTATGTCTCTCAGTCCCTGGAGTCCCAAGGACGTGGCAATAAGGGTCGCTCTTCTTGTCGATAGATACCTTGCACACATGTGCATGCTGCACCCAGTGTACTCCAAAAGACGCTGCAATGCTGGTCCTAGCCAGATTTTCAGGCGCGCATCTCGCGCCACACATTTGTACAGCCAGCGCCTGACTGCTCGCACAGGCAAAATGAGGCTATTGGCCAGCTGCGCCCGAACCTATTGCTTCGGATGAGCATTCGAAGGACCACGACACTCGGTTATATCTCATCTGCTTATGCTTCTTAATCACAAGATTTGCTTCTAGCAATGCATTGAGCCCCAAAACACCCTGACTGCAGGCCACCCAACACCAGCAAGGCATGCAGTCACGCGCCAGCGACTCCTGGCACTCGGATCCTCAGGTCATCAGGTTGTGTGCCTTCACAGTTTCTTGATTCGAGCTCTGGGATCCTGAAGTCCAAGCAGTTCTGAGACTGCGAAGCCTTCCTTGACTCTCTGCAGCTCGCGAGTGGTTCGCAGCAATCCAGCTCCGACACAATCAGTGCAAGCATGGCTGCTGCAGCAGCCGCGCTCTCAAAAGAAGTAGCAAGGCGATGGTTCTGCGTGTCTTTACGATGACGCCGAGTTGCTGCATTTAGCCAACCTCGTGCCTAGAATTCGCTGCCAGGGTTTTTCTTGCAACACCTGATCTCCCTGCATGAACCTTGTGGAGAAAACGCGGGAAGAAGCAGGTCGCATGTACAGTGGCATGTCAACGATCCCTCGAGCATTGCGGATCCGGGTTGATCGTGTGGTTCTTGGAGCTTTAGTTTCAACGTGCTGCAGATGATCATTACGGACTCACCCCGCGTTTGACGGGAGCTGCGATTGCGATATCAGGCCACTATCCTCTAACTGATCGCGAGACGACCGCTTATTCAAGCGCCCATCCGCAATCTCCCTAGGCCCTGAGGTCTGACCCGCAAACGAGACTCCACACAGGTGTCAGCATCGTCCACTTCATCTCAAGGGGAAGCGAGCAACAGCCTCGGCGTTTGGGAGCTAGAACCGCTGTCCGGCCGTGCAAGTCCTCAACTTTGTCTGATCTCGACACCCTCAACCCAACCCAGGATGCAGATAGTTGACTTGATCTCAGAACTTGGCGCTAGCACCCGTTTAGTCCCGTAGCTGGTTGTGACCGGCGCTCGGTCAAATTCCAGAGCTGCTTCGCGACACTAGAGAGCAAGGCCGGCAATAGCAATTTTGCCGGGCTTTGATTCGTGAATCCATATCGGATTGAGCTTCTGAGATTTTCGGGTATGCGTTGCGTTCTCGGGGCCTGAGATTGCGTGCAATTCTGTGCCCCTCTTTCCTCATATCTCGATTGATCGAGGGGTGGATTTTCAGATTTTGAGCTCGAGCTCTTGACTGGTGTTGGGATGCCGATGGACGAGAAACACCCGAAGCCAATCCCCTCCTGACCAAGCACACACAAGCCTTCTTGCCAAGGCATCGCCGAACAGATGGGCACTAGTTCACCAGCGCCTTCCCAGTCGTCACCTGAGCTGCAGCTGGTGGATGCTTGGGGTTCAGGCCTACGTAAACTCAAGGTTGTTTTTCACCTTACACCGAAGCTGTCAGAGAGGGACGCGAAGCACAAAGGCCATGTTTCACACCTACGAGACCGTTGAACGAGATAGGCCGTAACTACAAACAAGACCAACAAGTCTGGAATCCCGATCCCGGAACTTCTCTGCACCTGCGTTTTCTGCAGGGTCGCCAGCCCAGTGCGACAGAGCCTGCTGCTCCGTGGAAGGCCCCTCCGAGTGCTTCAAAGGGTGTGGTCAAGGACTTGCAGAGGTTCGGATTGGTACGCGACGTCTAGATGAAACTCTATGGTTTGAATCTGTTATATGGTTTGCTTTTGGGGTAAGAGGTATGGAGCATTGTTGCCATCATTGCTGTTTAGAGTGGTCAGTTTCACCTTGCACTTGCAACATCGGGTTGCTGCTTGGCAGTTGCGTTTCAGACGCAGCACCTCGTTTTTCCTGGGGGCAGTTGAAAGCCTGCTACTTCAGTCACCTTTTTTGTATCAAGCTGCCAAAAGAAGCTTCCGTTTCTAGCCATGCCGTACAGAATGAGCAGCATGTAAGTTTTAACTTTGTTGAGGCGAAGCTTCTTGAGGTGCTTCCTTTGAAGCGGGTCGCAATCGACCAGGTAAGCATGGACAGGGTATCGCCTTTGGAGAGACTGGATCACTGCGTGTAGGTAGCACCAGGAAAATTCTTGGACGCCTGACAGCAACGACCCCCACGATATCGTAAAGCCGCGGCTTCGAGTTGCCGCAGTTTTCCAATCCTTTGCTTTGTCCCTGCTGGCAGGAAGAGCGGCTACTCTTGCCCAGCAACATCTGCGGAGGCCCCTGAGCAGCTTGGGGCATTTTCGCTCATGCCGTGGTGAGCTCTTTCCTGATCTCTTGGTTCAGAGTCTTAAGACGGATTCTTCCTCAATCTGGCAGGTGAAAGCTCAAACAACTGACGAGGCCGTGCTGTGGGGGGTCGTTGTGGATGCCTGTCAGGATTGTCGGTTGCCTGCCATCCTCAAGCAATCGTTTCAGGCTTTGTGGTCTTGAGGCTCTACTCATCGGGGTCGAGGGGTTCAGTGGCCCGGTGGCTTGACCATTTCCGTTGCAGCGCTAAGGGTTTAGATTCCAGATGTCGGACTCTGAGGTGAACATTGTAGACAGACAGTTTTCGGATGCTCAGGGTTTCGGTCGGATCAAAAAGCCGCTCCCTCTCCGACAAAGATCGGCCAAAGTCACTCGGAAAATTGAGGACCTCAGCCCCTGGTTGTTGTGGGATCCAAGATTGCGGCTCCAGGCGCAGTCCCCGAACCAAACTCGTTCTGAGCATCGTTTGCTTTTCGAGATGTGGTGTTCCAGGAATTTCCAGGACCTTGTTTTGACGCCACACCTCTGCGAATATGAACTATTCGAAACCCTCGAAGACTGGGTTCAGCCTAGCATGCCCATGTACAGCCTAAGCCACGTTCAGTATCCTGCTGCCAGATGCGGACGCCTGATCGCCGGAAAACTGCTGTGGGGGCGAAGGAAACGCCGAAGAAGCGTGCGGCCCCGAAGAAGCGACGCTGGGCAGCAGATCGCTTCGAGCCAGTCAGAGGGCTTCTGCTCAATGCATTTCATGCAGCTTGCTGCGGCTTCGAGGGTGCAGGGCAAAGGCTTCACGTAGGGGTTGGATGGTCTGCTTGAGTTCTGGAAATATGGCAATACCAGGACTTGGGACAGTCAGAGCCGGAGCCGAGCATACCTCAATTAAGATCGTGCTAGCTACTAAACTTCGGCAGGAGCTTAGGCTTTGAAAGCAGTGTTTTGGGTTCGAAGGGTTCGCAGAAGCAGGCATCCTAACCTAGGCGGGTATTTTGGGAATGGATAGAGCTTGAAGGGTTTGCCCTCAAGGAGATGATGCCGAAAACTTGTGCAGGCCAGCAGAGTGTTTTCAGGCGCCGAGGGTCGTGGCACTCCACCGGCTTGTGCGTGCTGGGACAGTCGGCGTCTTCGTCGTCACTGTCGTCGATAATGCTGTTTCGGTTTTGATCATGATGACAACATTTGTCGAAGCGACGAGCACCGCCTCGTGTTCGTTCTGACACTCCTTCTCTGAATCTGCCACTTTCGACCGACGGTTCGTTCTCTCGGCACGCACCTCGTACCTTTGAGACCAACCTCTCAGGTTGAACTGACAGCCTTGAAACATGAGCCTGAACACCGGAGCACTTGAAGCCCAAATGTTGAATTCTTCAGCTCAAATCTTCAATTCAACCAAAAGCTGCTAGGCAATTGTGCCGCGGTTGTCACAGCCTTGGCCAAGAAGGCAATGGAGCAGACGCATTGTGAAAAGGACCGCTGTCCCACCAGGATTCCCCTGCAGTCTAGAGTCTAGGTAATTACTTAGCCAGCACTACGTAAATCCAGACAGCAGCAGTAGTAGCCACGACAATGGTCATCATGCGAACACCGACAGCCGTCCTTGCCTTCCTCTTCTGCTGCTGCTCCTGCTACTGCGACGACGACTCCTACTGCTACTGCTATCACTACCAGCTTCCGTTACTACCGTGACCACCACCAGGAGTCGGAAGTGGCGAGCAAGCGCTCACGCGTTCTCTCGCGCTGAGCCTGGGTTTTGCTGCAGGGCTGATGGCCCCACTGATCCAGAAGCTTACTGTATGGTTTTGGCAGCCGTAGGACTCAGGACAAGAACATCTTGTTTACAGGAAGGCGAAGGGCACTGTGGGCTCTGTATTGCTCGCAGAGCCTTAGGCTAAATGACAGGGCCCGATCAGCGCCTGCGAGCTTTCTCTCGTGACAAGCGGGTAAGGACTGCAATCGTCAGTCTGATAGCACCAGTATCTCCACTTGTGCAGCGTGTGTCCGACAGAAAACGCACCGTGCATGGTCGACAGGGTGTGTTACTTTCGCAGATGCTTTGGGTTTAGTCTTAGACTGTGTCCACAGTGGGTTTTGCCACAGCAGAGCTGGTCATTGCTGGTCTGTGATCTTCCAGCTTCCTGTTTGCGACATCCCGAAACTTGCAAGCTTGGAGCCTGGAGTACCGTTTACACAGCCATTTGCGGCTTGCAGCACCGTTGCCCAACGAGGAACAGGCTTCCTTTCTGGGGTCGCTCGGGTCTTCAATTCATAGAACCCCAGGCTTTCTTTTAAGGATTTTGCCAAACCTTAAATTAAACCCTAAACCCTAAAGTAAACAAGCCAAAGCAACCAAAGACGACCCACGATGTTGTTCGCATGCTTAATGAAAGACTAGACTGAAGACCCTATAGCGACCCCAAAACGAAGACCCAAGTGCTTTAGGCGCACTTCTCCAAAGTTGCATCTTATCTGCAGCAAACCGAAGCTGTCAAGCCATAGACCTGCGGCCCAATGCTCGGCCGAGCAGCTGTCCGGCAGCTCCCGATGCAGCGCCGTGTGCCGTGCATGGTTGGCCACACTGGGTGTGGAAGGGTGCGTGGCCGTGTGCGTGGCGTGCGAAGCACGCGCCGGGCTGTATTGCCCCTGCGAGGCTGCAGGCTGAATTCTCTCAGTGGTCAGACGCCCCCGCCCCCATCGGGTCTGAACTCGGAGAAACTTGTTGCGTTGTGGGCTCTGCAAAAAAGACAACGGTCTTCTGTGATGGGAGCCGGCCAGGCTATCTTGCCGCCTCATCTGATGCCCACAAGGAGCCGGCTTTGGGTCATAAGATGGTCTATGTGGGTGCTCTGGGGTCTTGGTGGGGCTGACTAGCATCCGAGTGGAGCTGTGCAGACACGAGAGCAATCATTGACGACTTTCAGACTCCGCGAATGCATGCCGTGTGGCTTGGGCTGAGGACCCTCGATTCTTTTGAGAGAGGTCCTGCAGGTCCCAATCCGAAACTCAAGCATGCTCTCTTGAAGGAGAGGCGTCCCTTGGGCCGGCTTCCAGTCAGCAACGGCATGAACGCGCGGCTCAAGGCATTTCTGCTTGGGTTCATGGGCGCGGCTCTTCAAATATTTGTTGCACTGCAGGGAGGTCCGGGCACAGGCCGAGGCGGGTGAACAGGTGATCGACAAACGGCCTTTGGCAACTGCAGGGTCAAAACCCTGCACGAAGCCTTCTTTCATGATGGGAAGATCCGAACTTTGTCAGTAGCAGCAGCTCCGCGTAACTACGATATCCTGAACCGCATATGTATCCGTTCACAGACTCAAAAGCCTTAAGGTAATTATTCCCTGCTAGACCTCGGCGTGCGTAGAGAGTCTATGCTTCTTGGGTTTGTGGAGCGGTATTAAGCGAATCCATGCCGGCCGAAGAACTACCGTTCATTCGTGTTTGATTTTGTTCGGCTTTCTTAATAGTTTTAAAAGTGCCTGCGACCTTGGTTCAACGATGCGATTTATGTTGCTTTATGTCGTGCTGTGCAGAGACATGTCGCGAAGTGTAGACAGCACTTTGTGTTAACAGGCAGTTCAGGAAAAAGTTGAGAAAACACAGACCAGAAAGAGGCCCTTGGCCTGGTGGCGCCCACCGAGCTGCAGAAGAAGGCATCTACGCCAAATTTCAGCCCCCAAGTGCCTCATGCTTCAGGTTTGAGGTACTTTTCGCAGGGGTTCTAGGGTTTCAGTGCTGGCGAGCCAAAGGCCGACTCTTCCACGGACTCCAAGAACATAATGGACTCCCAAACTTCACCGGGTGTGCAGGTTTGCAAACCCATCGTCGAGGGACGCGACGTGATCGGCATCTCGGAGCGAGGCGGTGCTTAGGGGATTCGATTCAAGCTAGTGACAGTGCGACCTGTCAGGCAAAGCGCGACTGTTGGCCTACCTGACCCTTGGCTTTGCATCTCTCGGCGATAGCCACTGTTGCATAGTTTTGCAAGAAATCCTGCCCTCGCCCTCGCTCTGAGGCTGCTTCCAGCACGTTAAGATCAGAGCCTGAATTAACCAACCCCTGCAATCTGTTGGCTCCGTTTTCCAACAAGAGCTGGGCGACCTCCTCTCCGAAGCCCACCGATGGAAGTGCACTGCTCCAAACCATGTTGAAAAGTGGTAAAAAAACGACCCGACCTGACACACGCACCGATGGGCAGCTTAATCTGCCCTCCCCCCGTCACGCCGAATCCCCAGAGTGAGCCAACTTTTGAAAGCCTTGTTTTCCGGCCTTGACTCGTTTTCCTAAAACCCCAAGCGCTCCATTCCACAAGTCCTGACCCAACCCTGCACCCTAGCCTACTTGCATTTATGCCACGACACAAGACAAGGATTCCTCTCCTCGACCGCGCCAAAACGGAGCGGCCACCCGGCGAAACTTGCGGGCAAGGGAGGGCTTGCCCACAAACTCCCCCGAACCACGTTTGTTTGGAGTATTTCGAGGCCTGGGACGGGTCTTAAACCGTTTCGGGTTCGCGTGGTTCAGGGTGGTTTCTTTGCGGAGCCGAGTTGTAGGATTGCCGTGGTTCATATGGGTGGGTGGGACAATGGCCACTCACAGTCGCTGCTACGGCATGCAAATTTGGCTGCAGTTGTACAGGTTTTGGATGCAGGGCTTGTTGGGTCCATTGGGTGTTTGGAATTGAACTCAGGGTCTGCTTGGGAGACTTGGCTTCAGTAGTAGGGGGCTTGGGATTTCAATGTTGCAGTCTCGGGATTGGGTCGTCCCAGTAGTTGCGTCAGTGCGCTGAAATCGGGGTTTGGGACTGGAGGGCTTTGATGGCGTAGGACAGGCACAGCATTGAGACCAGGATTCTGCAGGGCAGCTGCAACCTGGAAGCTACCCAGGATGGTCGAGGATTACCCTTAACTGCCATCCCGGCCTAAACTCCACACACCTGCTCCCGTAGCCAACCTGGCTGAACCCGGCGCCCCAAAAAACCCTTAGCTTAAAGCGTAAAGGCTTAAACCGCAACAGAAAAACCGCAACAGCAAACCTTGCCCACGTGCTAAATCCAAGGTGGGCGCCCAATGAGGCTGCCATCATCGTGGAGCCTAGCGGAGTTCTGGCGGACGCCTGGTTTAGGATATGGCTGGGATGTGGAGGATTTTGCGGATGTGGGTCTTAGCATGTAGTAATGTTGCGATCCTAGTTACGAGTTGCCAGGTGAGCGCACACCCCTGTTGGCGAGTTTTGAGCTACAGTAGTCTCAAGTCCCGAGGTTCAGAGTTTAGGACTTCGGTTGTTGGCTGCGCTTCTCTTCAGTGTTGCAGAGGGTTTGAATTTGGTGTTCGGGATCTGGGGTCTCGGCGGTGTTTGGTCCTCGTTGGAGCCTCTGCGCGGGAGTTGGACCTTGGTCTTCGTTGTCTAAAGCTGCGCTTGGGGATTTCTAGCTCGGGCTTGCAAGACAGCAGGCCAGCGAGCCTCGCATGAGACATCATAAGAACTCGGACCTCAGCGAGCCCAAGCGTTTGGCCGGCTTTCCGAGGAGAAAGTTTACGTCTTGGCGAATTCACTTCGCCGCTTGGCAATCCTTGCGTTGCATGATGAGGGGATTCTTGGCCTGGGTGCGCTCATTTCAGTGTGCAACTACTGGCAGGTTTCTCGTGGAAGCAGCATGTATCGGTTGGGATTGTGCGTTCGGGTTCCGAGCCGTGAAAGGATCGAAGCTTGCGATTCTAAAATACTTTCGACCTGCCCGAAGTCTCTTGGTGCTGTGCGGCGGTCGAAATCCTTGAATTGGAGCGCACCAATGAGGGCCCATTCTAGTTGGCATTCAAGCCATGAGCCCTCCCAGCCCGGAGACAAGAAACCCCAAGCCTTGCGAGGTAAGTGGTCCCTTCGCACGATCCTCCTCCGTGAAGGCGGCGGGAGAGCAGGAAGTTCCCAAAATCCGACGATAGACAACGGCTGCCTCGAGGGCGAACCCGCGCCCGCCGCTTTCAAACTGAAAAGAAACACAAGCGCACCGGACAGGTTCGAACAGTGCAGCTACCAAACCCTGCAGAACATCCAACTGCAGGGAGAAGAGCCAGCACACGAGCTTTCCCACGGCCCGCTGCCCCGAAGCTTTCGTGTGGTGACGAGGCGGTGCCGAGGGGATTGCAGCGCAGCGCGCCGTCCTGCAGCGATTCTGGCTTGGAGGTTAAGGGTCCAAAGAGTTTGAGGCTCGGTGGCTCACGCTTTTGGTTCAAGTCCAACCCTTCATCCCGGAACTCGAATGACCTTTGTACGGGGGGCCTTGTAATTCCGAAGACCGAAGTCGAAAGAACCCTTAAACGGGTGCTACACCCTGAGTTCAACTAGCCCATAGAGTCTTAACATAGAGGGAAAGCTCCAGGCAAGACAAACCTTCTCGAAGTCGTAGTTCGTCCAAGCCCACATGAATCGGATTCCGACATCCCAAACCAAGACGCACCGACATGGCTTAGCCCAGGCGCTGCTGCGGCGCGGGGCGCACCTAGTCGTGGCTACAGCCTCGCAGCTGCGGGCGCGGCCGCGGCATTTTTGGTTTGTTTGTTGTGTTCTTTCTGTTTGTTTCCGTCGGTGTCTGGGCACCGGTTCCGGGGTTCGAGGATCATAGTGCAGTGCTTTGTCGCTTGATTCAGATGCTTGGCTGCATGCAAGACTTGGTGGATGGTTTTGCCATCGAGGGCTTGGGTAATGGTTACACTGGTGATGGGATGCTAGCTTATAGCGAAGCCCATG